ATCCCATGTTTTACAAACCTCCTCATGCTTTTCGCCAGAAACTCAGTTCTAGCAGCTGTTTCTTCTGCATACCTCAGCCTCTACTAGTGAACAATTTCAAGTAAGTTACCATGCGAATTGATACTGTGTTAGGAATGCGTGGTTTGATGTGCTTATAGGAAATGAGTGACTTGTTATTGCAACATGATGACTTTTTAAGAATTAGTTTCAAACCCAGGATTTCCTTTCTTCTCTTTGGCATTTGAATGTCAAAAACTCTTAGATTTGTGAAAGCTAGCTTTATAAAGTAGCGCATAGCACTGAAACATATTAGTATTAGGAAAATCCAAAAAGTAGTTTTAAGGCAATCTTATTGAAATTTTCCCTCTGCCTATAATTTGGGGTCTCCTTTTGAATTGTACAGGAGGATGACATGGTCTATCAGAAGCAGTGTGGATAGCAGAGGGTTGGACCCATCTCCAACAAATGGCACTACTGGCACAACACGTTTAATTAGGGCTATCCAAGCTATTCAAACCAAGTTAGGTAGCAAAATTCGAGAGCTAAGGAGAGGTTTCCCATTTAAAGTACTCTTCTTCTTAGTGGGTTTCTACTGTGCAACTGCTTATGCTACTGTGATTGGGCAAACAGGCGACTGGGACATTCTATCTGCTGCCTTTGCTGTGGTTGTGGTGGAGGGGATTGGAGCCCTCATGTACAAGGCTTCTCTTCCTTTACTAACGAAGACTAGGAGCCTGATAACCATGTTTAATTATTGGAAAGCTGGGCTTTCCTTGGGTCTCTTCTTGGATTCATTTAAATATGAGTTCAATGACATTTTTGGATTCAGTAGCCCCTTCAATTTCGAACTCGATGCATTTTCAATATTCTTATAACACGTGGCTCTTTTGAATGCTGTTTACTGATATGGAGGATTGAGAAATTGTGATTGATAAACATAGGTCATTACCTGACTGCAATAGTGGGCATGGGATTTTCTGTGTACTGTCCATGAAAACCATATTCTTGAACAAATATGGTACTGTACACT